TCTAGTGTTATACATTATGTAGTAAACTGTTTCCAGAAAACACAAATAGCCAGTTAATGACAAACAACATCATTTAATACCTGACTTATTCTTCACATTATTATTAAATAAATAAGTAGATAAATATTTCCTCCAGAACTGGTTGTCAAAATTACATCTCTGATCTTCTGACGCAGCTATGCTAGTTATAGCAGATACACCACACAAAAATATATTTGTTTACCACAGATAAATAGGTAAATATATAAATACAACAAATCACTTGTAGGTCACTGAAATATTTCTTCCATACACAGTTGTGCTGGAAATATTTCTCTCTCTCTTACACACACACACACACACACACACACTAATATTGGCACCCTTTAAAAACTGAGCAAAATGTGCTGTAAATGTAATTATGTGCTGTTAATTATTATATAATTCTAGAATATAATTATAAAACAAAAAATGCAACGTAAAAAAATAAAAATAATGATTTAAACAATATGTTTCTTTCAGTGATTTCACTTTGAGGGTTATATTTGTTGGATTATTTTGAATGAAAAACTCTTTTTCATTGAAAACACTTTTCCACAGTCGGTTTTACTCATTTTTACCAGGGCTGCGCATTATATGACATTATGAATATATACACTCACATTCAAGTCAACAGATCTGCAGACACAGAGGCTTGACATGACATCAGGTTATGCCAAGTTCACACTGCACGATTTTAGCTCGATTTTTCACTCGCTGACAGGTTTTGCGAAATCGCCGACAAATGCCCGAAATCGGAGGCAAATCGGTGCTCGTTCACGCGAGTGATAATCACGCAGTGTGAATTATCAAAGACGCGATCTGAGGGAATCGCCGATGCGTTGCCGATGCCCGTGAAATATTTGGCATGCTAAATATCTGGAGCTGTCGGTGATTCACAATCACGCTGTGTGAAATGAGTTCTGACTGAAAAACACATCGGCCAATGAGAGACCAAGATACAGGGCAGCGTGAAGTTTGGGGACGAGTTATATGAAACGTAGTTTGCGGACCAGTGTAGCCAAATCCGCGATTGCCGCCGGTTGTTTTTCGAGTAATTGGGAGGGTTTTGTAGCGAAAACCTGGCAACCCTGCACCAGACAGAGCTGTCGGCGATTCTTCCTATTGTAAAGTCATGCACTGTGTAACCTCCTGTTGTCGTTCCATCGTGCAATGTGAACACAGCAACAACTGAATGCTACCCCAGATAGTCGTTCAGTGTGAAACCAACAGTGATGCGATGTCTTTGAAAATCAAGCAGTGTGAACTCGGCATTAGGCTGTCAAACAAAGAAAATCAAGGCAACTTCAACACACTTTAAAACATATCCCACAACACCATTCAATGGACAATACGATTCTATTACTAATTTCCAGAGTCATCATTGGTTTCAATGGAATCAATTATATTGATTATGCCATATCAATATTTGATGAGAAAAGCCCCTACATTTTTCACAAGATTCAAAGACATTACTATGGCAGACGAAAACACTGATTAGGCATTACGGAAACTTTACAAGTCATTATACTGTTTGTTTCACATTTTATGTATGTTTGAGAGGTATATACAGTACTGTACTGAAGGGCTAGTCCGGTTTATTAAATAGCCAATAGGCTTTAGCCACATCAGCTATGAATGATGTAAGCAAGTATATGTAAATGGCTTTAATCGGGTCATACATGGCTTAAGCACATAGTCTTTCCACAGCATGTAAACACCTCTGGTGTTGTGTCGGCTCATGTCAAACACTTGCAGTGCAACAGGAAAATGTGACAAAAAAATCAAAAGTAAGAATTTACAACCATGGCCACCAAGCAGTACCTCTTGTCGTACTAACATTCAAAAGTTCCTGTTTTGATGACATACTGGACAAACACTGATCGTTTCAAATCTTGTGTAAACACGAATCCTTCCGCCATTGATCGATTCATCTGTAAACCATTAAAACAGGTTTGTGTGCTCACGTGATTTTTGATTGATGTGCTGCTCAGCCCGGCCGAATGGTGCATCGCCAGTGAACTGACTGTCGGTGTGTAGCTGGCACAGCCAAATGTCTGAAATATCTGCTCTGAGCACTGATCTCTATATGACCGGACTGCTGATGGATTCCACTGCAAGCGTCCCGGCGACCGTATTAATATTCCCAAACACCAATAGGCATCACTGACTGATAGCCTGTGTTACGAGCTAAAATGAGCCGGTGTGATTGGTTTTTAGGGGATGTGTCTGTAAATTAATTGTTACTGTGGACGTTTATAATGTTTATGGTCAATTTGTGCAGGATAAGCAGTATATAGAAATCGTTAAGGTGGGCGCGTTTGCTGCACACTGAGATTACTGAGCGAACACTAGATATATTATAAATAATTATATAAAAACTAGTTATGTGTTTCTGGGCTGGGGTACAGGCAGGTTTATTCAAACTGTGAATATCTGAGCTGGTTTGGCTAGAGTTTACCTAGTTCAGTGTAGGTCCAAGTGTAATAAAGCATGGCCAATGCATCAGTCGCTAATATTCTCAGCACATCAGAGAGAAAATCCTGACGGCGGGCCGCAGTGAAGCAGCTGCAGCAAGACTATTTAAATCAAGCTCATTGGCTGATGGATTACAGGCAGAGCACCAATCAGCTGCTCCCATCTAGAACATGAGGCAGATTACTGCACATAAATCAACTCCTTCATTAGCATACCGTCAACACATCAAACGTGATTGTGTCAATGAAGGAGGAGCTTTGCTACTAAAAAGATTTTTATGAAGATTTTACATATGACATTTCTTAGCAATAAGGTGGCAACGTTGCTGTTTTTGAAGTAATTCTCACAGCTTCACTACAGCGACGTATACAGATGCCGGTGATTCAAATGTGATGATAATAATTCATTCCAACAACCTGGATCTCTAACAAACCTCTGCCATGAAAAGTAACCATCATTTTTACCTGTCTGGTCAAACTTTGCACTGCAAGCATCAATGACAGCTTTGAGTTGTCAGTGCCGGCAAGTGGCCAAAATATATAAATATAAGTGGTATAATCCATGGCTAGGTGTGCATTACACGATTTTAATATACTCCACAGAGCCATCCAGATTTTTTGTCTCCACCTTTGCATTAAAATCATGTAACTCTTTATAATTCTATACATTCTTTACAGAGTTTCTGTCATCTATCATCTACTTAAGTCTGCCTGATCAGGTCTGATCTTCAGTCAAAATGTGCTTGTTTATTTGTTCAGTCCAACCAGAATTTCAATCTAAAAAAAGCAACATATTGGTAGGGCTAGGAATATTTGACAATCCTGTCAGTATTTACTCACCCTCAAGTAAGTCCAAACTGCTTCGACTTTATTTCTTACATGAAACAGAATGTTAACATTTTCCCACTGCTCTTTTTATGCAGTGAAAGTGAACAGGGACAGACATTGTTAAGCTCCAGAAAGTTAAAAAAAAAAATCACAGAAGTAGTAGCAGGATCTTGCAATTTCTGCAGCAAGCTTGAATATGAATGACATTAGAGAGTGAATAGTGACTTAAATTCCCCAAACAAAGCTATCATGTGGCTTCAGAAGACATGGAGAACCCACTTTATATCAGGTGTCTACATCAACTTGCATAAAAACATAAAACACACAATACACTTGTTGTGTAAATACATGGTTTACATTGTACTTAAAGGATTAGTTCACTTCTAGAATACAAATTTCCTGATAATTTAGATGTTTATGTCTTTCTTCATTCGAACAGAAATAAAGGTTTTTGAGGAAAATATTGCAGGATTTTTCTCCATATAGTGGACTTCAATGGGGATCAACGGGTTGAAGGTCCAAATTGCAGCTTCAAGGGTTCTACATGATCCCAGCCGAGAAGTGAGGGTCTTATCTAGTGGAATGATTGGTCATTTTCTATGTACTTTTTAATATACGTTAATCACGTTGGAAATGTCACGCTTGGTTCGTTCTTCTGATTTTCTCCTCCAACTTCAAAATCGTCCAACATCATTGTTTTTACCTTTTTTGTAAAGTGTGTTTGACTTTCTTTATACATTCGCTTTGTAAACACTGGGTCGGTGCTTCTGCGTACGTCAGGACCTTTCCAACGTGATTACGTAATGAGTGAGGTTGGGCTGGTGCAAGACAAGCATTTAATGACAGATCGTTTCGCTAGATAAGACTCTTATCTGGGATTGTGTAGAGCCCTTTGAAGCTGCACTGAAACTGCAATTTGGACCTTCAGCTCGTTCTCTCCCATTAAAGTCCAACATATGGAGAAAAATCCTGGAATATTTTCCCAAAAACCTTAATTTCTTTGCGACTGAAGAAAGAAAGACATGAACATCGTGGATGACATAGGGGGAGTAAATTATCAGGAAATGTTTATTCTGGAAGTGAACTGATCCTTTAAATTTGAAAAAGCATGTAATGAATTACACAGCTGACCGGACCCTAAATATACAGCCAAGTCCATCCGTACCCCAAACTCAATAGCAGCAAATGCCAATCTAGCAAGAGTTCTGCAGAACAACATGCATGTAAACAAAAAGCACATTGGATCAAATGTAATGCTAATGCTAATATTAAGAAGGACCAACTAGGAATATAGTGCATGTGCCACGAGGAGTACTTTTCTATCATCTTTGGCACTTAACAGTCTGTTTGTTTTCAAATACCAGGCTTGAGGGTGTGTAAATAAAGACAGCATGTTCGTTTTTGGGTGAACCACTTCCTTAAAAGAGCATATGGACTGTGGAATTACAGACAGTAACGGATGCTTTTAAAAATGTATTGCTCTGTAACAGTTATATTCTAAGCAGAAAAAAGGAATAAACACAAGCTTGTTTCATACATACCATCAATCACGTCACGTCAAGTCAACAGTAACTGTACTACTTGTTTCCGCTCCATTAGTATTGCACAGTTTTCCCTCTTTGGCCTGCTGTCATCCAGCTTGTGGATTTCATCTTTAGTGCGTGATCATTCCTGTCTCTACTGGTGCTCAGTGCTGGAGTCAGGGCTCACCTCGCCCTCGTCGTTCACAAACGTTCCTGCCACAGAGCCTCCGTGCCGCGGCTTAACAGCAGCCAGCTCTGACAGGACGATATTGTCGTGGGCAACGAGCGTGGTCTTGTCCATCGTTTCTTTGCTGTGTCTGGAAACCACTGCATCCAGGAAGTCATACTTGGGCGAGAGCTTGCCGCTCTCAAACAGATACTTGGCCGCATATGAGAAGGCAGCGTTGCTCAGAAGCGAAGCCAGCATGGAGACCGTCTTATAGGGGAACCTCTGCTCCACGAAGCGCTCCACCTCCCGCGTGAGACGTTGCTCCTTCTGGCGCGTCTGCCAGCCGGGGTTTGGAACAACATGAGGGTGAGTAATTAATGACAGAATTTTCATTTTGGGGTGAACTAACCCTTTAAAGCAAGGGCTTCATGTACATTCGTAGTAAAACATGAAATCACAATAGACTTGATTTACCTGGTTCCTGCTATTATTGTGAATGATTCATCAGAGCTCAATATTCTTAAGGAAAAAAGTTTTAAGTTTCATCAAAATATAAAACAAAAAACAAAAGTCCTTTTCCATTGATGTCATCTGGGCCACACGATTACAAACGATTACAGACTAACTATTTAGACAAACTCACATCCAGGTCTGGCTCCTTTCTTGTTAAGTGTTTGATTAAGCTTTTCAAAAAAGACTTCATAAACACTACAGTATGATGGTGCTGCAGGGACGAAGAATTTATGTAGGCCAAAACCCGGAAACGAGTTGCATTTTAGCACTTCTGGTTCCTGTCCTGAAGTCAAAGGGGTTTTTTGAATGGGGTTTTCTGTTAAAAGCCTGAAATAAGGTTTGTGGTGAACACAAGTTTAAAATATTTTCACGTTTTATTTTACATAAGTAATACCCCCTTATGATTTTTTAAAGCTTTTACTTCTTTTACTCTTGAAAACGGTGGTTGCGAACAAGTGTCTACATGGCACTACAGAGGGATCATCACATTGAACAGGTGAACTCATCTACACGCTAGTCTCTTTCACAGCCTCATTTATAATCACACTCCTGCAAACTACTGCAAGAGAAAATGTTTTGAGATACAGACTGAATGAGTTGTTGAAGCTTAATGGCAGTGAACGCTGAAGTCATGTGACCGTGACGTAGTTTGATAATACTTTTTACTTCTGCTGACTGTATTTAGACTTCAAAATTGTGATGATTGTGAAGGTGGTGTTGATTATCATGATGAAAAAAAAAAACGTGTAAGAATCATAAACTTTGGTTGGTCACAGAGCTTATTTTCTGCTATGATCCAAAAGTCAATGAAAAAATGATTTTGAATCAGGTCTCCTGTGATGGAAGACAATTTCTAACAATAATATTAAAAAACACAGTTTCTAATATGTTTTTTTTAAAGTTGCTTACATTGCGTTTACACAGGTTTTACACAGAAATACAGTAGTATAAAGAACTTACCGACTGCCGAAAAGCAAGTTGGTAAATATTCCGTGCGAACATGGAGCTGGCTGAGAGGATGGAGGAGTCTGCGGAGGACATCACAGCGGCCGACACCGCCCCCAAACCAAAGAAAGAGACGAACGGAGGGCAGAGATGCTGCAGGACGATGGGCAGGATCATGTCCGACTCGTCCTTCTCCACCGGAGGAACCGGACCGTACGACGTCTGATTCCAGTCTCAACACACACACACACACACACACATCATATTCATCATCTGAGTATCATTTGTAATGTGTGAAGTAGTTCAAATAGTGTGCCTGATTTAACTGTGAATATACAGTCAAACCACAATTTATTCAGACACCTTCAACATTTCTCACATTATCACAGTTTATTCACTATAGTTTAAAAAATGGGAATATAATTTCACAAGAACTCAGAGTTAAACTGTGTCAGAACAAATTCATCTTGATATTGCCAGATAACTTTGATAGAAAGGTATGGAATGAATTCGGTTGAATAGCTGTCAGCTGTTA